CAAATTTTAATTTGTCATGTCATTTTTGAACAGTCAGGTTTTTCGAATTATATTTATTTAGGGTTGGTCAACAAGAATTAGGTTTTTGCTCAAGGACAGTAGAATCTAACAGGACTGCTACATCCATTGTTGTGTCAACCTGCCCGCAAACTACGTCACACCATTTTCCACGCCCAGCTGTTGTTATGGTTTATGCGTTTGCTGTGTATTTTTAAAGGTTATATCCTGGACATATTCATATTATTTTTGAAGTTTTATATTTTTAGACGTATTAATGTCTATCTATGTCTATATAACCTCTAAAAACACAGAGAGTTACCAGGCGTGGCAAATAGTGTGACGTAGAGTGCGGGTAACCAACCCGTAGTGGACTACAAAAATACAATGGATGTAGCAGTCCTGTTAGATTCTACTGTCCTTGGTTTTTGCTTATGTGAAAGGTAGTGCGGAAGAAATACCGGAATACCGACAAATATAGTTAAAACATTTATTCGACAAACAGCATACAAGTATGGATAAATGAAAAACTCACTAACGAAATATCTGCAAATGCTGGCATTCGACAAGGGGATTCATTGAGTCCACTATCATTCAATCTTGTGATGGATGAAATCATAAAAAAAGTCAAGACGGGCAGGGACTGCAAAATGGGTGATCAAGAATTTGTGATCCTGTGTTATGCTGATGATGCGATCCTCTTTGCGAAAAACGAGAACAATCTAGAGAAAAACCTACAAGCATTTAACAACATAGCGAAACAATTCAAGTTACGGTAATATTGAAGAGGAAGTATCCCAACAAGTCAGAAAAGCCAGTAAAATCGCAGGCTTAATATTAACACAAAATCAAGAATATACAGGATGGTTCAGTTTTTAATCGGGAAACTTTACTAGGACGTAGTACTTGCCAAAATAACATAAGTTTTTTATATAAACATAGGGTCGCAACTTTTTTGTTTTCAAGCTATGAGCCGTCAAAGTTTAGTCAAAAATTTACATTTTATCTTTTATTTCGGCTATAAGTAAACCGTAGAATTTGACTGAACCACCCTGTATAAAAGCACCTTAGATCGATCATGACCTAAACGGCTGAGACTAGACATGACACGTCTAAAACAAAACGGATATTGGAAACAGCAGAAATAAAGATACTTCGCAGAATCACCGATAAAACACTATACGATAGAGAAAGAAACATGGACGCATATATGGAAGAAATAATGGAATGAGTGACGAAGTCTAGGACGACCAAAGGAAAGATGGAAGCGACAATTTGCGCACAGAATAGAGGCATCATTGACGAAGAACAGGCTTTAACCTGTTGTTTCCCGACGGTACTTTAAAGTACCGCTAATTTTTAAACAGTAGGAGTCATCTATTCGGCGCATTTAGAACTGTCGCTACTTTCTACTATACAATAAAGAACCTGTATAAAAAATGACGAAATCCGCACTGTAGGGTTTTTAAGGTATATTTAAACTTATCCGTCCAGATGTGAGGTTAGTATTGATGATTTGAGACGTTTAAGTTTTTATTTTTAAAAGAACGGGTTTTGCAATCCAAAACGCAAAATAGTTGTAACATGTCGTTCGTCCGTTAGCAACAATGTCATAGCGACACAAAAAAAAAGATCATTAATAAATATTAGTTTTGTCAAATAGTCTGGTCAAATAGTTCAATTCATTACTGTGTTCAACCGAATTAACAATAAAGCTAAATAGAAAATCACGATTACTGGACGATTAGTCAGAGAACGGGTAGTTCTCTTGTATGTGATCACGAAACATTTGACGACCGTAACAGGACTCAAGATTGGATTTACGTACGCGAGGCTGACGTGAAAATTTTCGTGCGCGTGACGTAACTTTTGCGTGTTAGAATTTGTTTGGGTGTGGTTTTCGATAATGGACGAAGAAAGAAAGCAGCGTGCGCTTCTTCGCAGCGCTTTTACTCGATCATCCCGAGAAGTAGACACAGTTTTGGCAGCAAGCAACCCTGATCTCGATGATTTGGAAGCTATTTTTAACCTATTAGCGGAGAAAATGGGAGACCTAAAGATTAACGATGCTCAAATTTTAACTAAATCAAAATTAATGATTGCGAACGGAATAGCAGACAAAGATATTGATGACGAACTTGCAAAATGCGACGATTACCAGATTAAATTTTTTAAATTAAATGTTCGTTGCAATAAAGTATTTTCAAACGCGGCATCGACATCTGCGCCGATACTCGCAAATCAAAGTTTATCGCATAAATTCAAACTACCTAAGATCGAACTCAAAAAATTCGGCAGGGACAAGAGAATGGTTAGCTTTCTGGAGCCAATTTAAAAAGGTACACGAGGACGAGGATTTAGCACCGGAAGATAAATTTCAATGTTTAATTTCGGCTATGATACCAAACTCGATGGCCAAAGATTTAATAAATAAATTAAAAAACAGCACTTGAACGATGACATTTATTGTAAAAAGGTTAGTTTTCTACCGGTTTCGACTGTGCAACAGTCATCCTCAGGAAAACGACCTGTATAAAACAAGGATTACATTAATATAGTAGAAACCACGAGAGCTGGCAGTGGCAGATCGCTTAAAAATGGTATGAATCAAGATATGGACGTACGACTTAGATTATTTCACCACATACATTTAAATGTAGGTTATGTTAGTAATGGAGGTTTTATGTCAACCATTGTCAAAGATATTATTTAATGATTAATGATTTTCCTTTCAAAGAAAACATTTTCGGCTTGTGAAAACACTGACAAATTCATGACAACGCTCACAAGATGTTTCGATTTGAGGTTATAATTATAGAGTTACATCCCTTAGAAGAACAGACGTACTTTTTCGACGAAATAAACTAAAAATCTGTTGGCAGCACTTGAACAAAAATATACAATTGACGCTCTGGAACGATGGCGCGAAAAATTCAATATTTAAAAAATCTCTAATCATTCAAACAACATAAATTGAATTCTTGAAAATTGACAAATTGACAAAATGAATACAAAACAGTATCAATGTCTATCGGAAACATTTTCAAAATGAAATCAAATTCCAGGGTAAAAATCGTGTGAGGAATTGTATATAAAATGCAAAAATATTATAAATTTTAACCGTCAATATAACAAATAAAAAATTATTACAAAAATACATTATTCCTTGGTTACCACCATCCTGCTTCATTTCCTCTCCCCTACCTGACAATCATTTTCAATTTAACCTCAATAAAACCCAATCCATACCTACCCTGTTCATTCTTACTACAACATGCATCCTACTAAGATTTGTTATTTGCACACAACTGCATAAGTCTTGATATTTTAGATCACCAAACAATATTAACATATAACTCCTGTCCAACCTTTGTTTATTATTTTGAAAAAAATTTTGTTTTTCAATGTATTTCTGTAATAATTTTGTATTTGTTATATTGACGGTTAAAATTTATAATATTTTTGCATTTTATGTACAATTCCTCACACGATTTTTACCCTGGAATTTGATTTCATTTTGAAAATGTTTCCGATAGACATTGATACTGTTTTGTATTCATTTTGTTAATTTTCAAGAATTCAATTTATGTTGTTTGAATGATTAGAGATTTTTTAAATATTGAATTTTTCGGGCCATCGTTCCAGAGCGTTAATTGTATATTTTTGTACAAGTGCTGCCAACAGATTTTTAGTTTATTTTCCAACTTTGCAACTGAAATATAACCTCATATCACATATTTGCGCGCCTAAAAGTTTTCGCAGTTTGTCATTTCTAAGTTAAATTATATTAATAGTTTTTTGTGAAGGAACCTTCATATTATAATCCGATGAGCTCCTGTTTTATTTTATGTTCGTTGACGTAAGTTATCTGTATTAATTTTTATATTTCTTCATATTTTAAGATAGACATGAATAAGCACACGTTATTTTACGATACTTAAAGATATTAATGTAATCCTTGTTTTATAAAGGTCGTTGTCCTGAGGATGTCTGTTGCACAGTCGAAACCGGTAGAAAACTAAGCTTTTTACAATAAATGTCATCGTTCAAGTGCTGTTTTTTAATTTATTTAATTCACACGATGATAAGAAAAATACACAACTTCAACTAAAGATTTAATAGACAGTTTTCCCTCGACCGCAGACAATTACGTCAAAGCAATTGAGACCTTGGAAGCGACTTTGGAAAAACTTTTGGAAGAAAAGACATGCTCGTGGAAGTTTATGTTAGGGAATTGCTTAAGTTGGTGCTCAATAACGCAATGCGGCCATGTTGTATCCGCTTGTTGAGTCCTGCTTACCAGAGGAATTGTTATGTGTCTGGCAAAGGACACCGGAACCCACAGATAAAGCAAGTCATCCGTCAAAGACTAGGCTCACTTACCTTATGGAGTTTTTAAAAGCCGAGGTTGAAGAAAGTTCGGGCTATTATAGATACTGGATCTCAAAGGTCTTATGTATTGAAATCTGTTGCCACCGAAATAATGTGTCGGACAAAACGAACAGAAAGGATTGTTCATGCGTTACTTGGAGGAACTCAAACTGAAGAACAAGAACATCGATGCTATGAAATAAGATTGGTGCGTCTTGATGGTGAATTTGCCTGTAGATTTGAAGTTCTAGATCAGACGACTATATGTTCCGCAATTCCCAATGTTTTTAATGGGGCTTGGACGATGGAATTAAAAAACGCTGGTATTAAATTGATTGACACGGGCAATTGCCGCGAAGTATCCGTATTCATAGGAGCAGATCTTGTTAGGAAACTACTTACCGGTAAGAAACTGCAGTTGAAATGTGGACTCGTAGCGTTGGAGACACTACTCGGGTGGACACTTATGGGAAAAGTAAAACCGACAAAAGTTTCAAAAGGGAACGTTTTTGCGCTAGCACGTCGTTGTTGACAAAAGATATGCCGATTTCAAAACTTTGGCAGCTGGATGTACTAGGAATTTCGGATCCACAAGAGAACCGGACTAAAGTTGAATTAGAAAAGGCAGTTAAAACATTGTTTAAGGAGACGACAGTGGTAAATGAAGAAGGACGGTGTGAGGTGCAGTTGCCTTGGAAGGAAGGACATCCACCGTTACCGCATAATTACAATTTAGCGAAAAAGAGACTTCAATCTGTATACAACAAACTTCAAGCAACTGGGGACGTTGTAAGATACTCTGATGTATTTGCACAGCGGTTGTCGGAAGGGATTATAGAAGGATACCCCAAGATGAAATCGACAATATCGCACATTATATACCGCATCGACCCGTATTCAAACTCCAGTACCACAACTAAGGTGCGTCCGGTATTTGATGCTTCAGCCAAGGAAAAGGGAAGACCATCTCTAAACGATTGCTTGGAAAAAGGTATAAATTTGATTGCGTTGATTTCTGATGTGTTGTTACGCTTTAGAATAGAAAGGGTTGGAGTAACATCGGATATCAGAAAAGCATTTTTACAAATTAGCCTAAATGTCAGGGATAGAGATTTCCTGACATTCATATGGAAGACAGACGAAGGAAAAGATTTACTATATCGTCACCGAAGGATGGTATATGAGGTGAATTCAAGTCCTTTTCTACTCGGCGCTACTTTAGAGCAACATATTGAAAAATATTGTGGAGGAGAAGGGGAAAACATTTATTCTGAATCCACTGTAAACCGGTTAAAGAGAAGCATTGTAGACAATTGTGTCACTAGCATACCGGATGAGCAAACAAAAGATCTTTTCGTAAGAGAAGCCACTGCACTGATGGCCGAAGGTGGGTTTGCATTGACAGGGTGGGAGTGTAGCAAGATAGAAAGTTTGGAAGATCACATTGTACCATTATTGGGATTAAATTGGAATACGAGACATGACACTCTAATGCTTTGTTATACACCTCAGACAACGAATACCGTGATTACGAAGAGAATTCTTCTTTCATACGTTCAGCGAATATTCGATCCAATTGGAGTAACCAGCCCCACAACTTTGTACCCTAAGCTGATGTTACAGAAAGTGTGGAAGAATAAAATTGGATGGGATGAGGAGATAGATGATGAAACGAACAAAATGTTCATGAAATGGGTGAGCGAATTGCCATTCATTCTTCGTATGGGGGGGGGGGCAAGGGGGGTCAATCATGCACCGGGCGCTACTTGCAAATGTTCGTTAGCAACAGCTGGAATGCTGGAAGACGATATGCCGCGCAATGTCTGGACACACTTTTACAAGTAAAGTCGAGAGTGGCACCGATCAAGAAGATGTCCATTCCAAGACTGGATGAATGAATGACCTGGGTTTGAACCAGACGAAGATGAAGAAGAAATTAATGCTGAAAGAAAGAGAAAACCAATTGTGTCGATGATAAATATCAACGATGGAAGTCGTTTCTATCGATTTTTATCAAGTTATAGGAAATATGTCCGAATGATTGCTTGGATGTTGCGGTTTGTATATAACTGTAGATATCCTGATGTAAAAAGAGAAAAGTCTCTAACTGTAGAAGAGGTAAATGGGACAGAAAAGAGGCTGATGTCCATCATTCAGCAAGAATGTTTTCCAGCAAAAGATAATCGGCTTTCAACCCTGAACGTCCGGAAAGATGAAGATGGAAAGGTGCGAGTAGTGAAACTCCACACTCCGTACGGACAAGTCATCCGACCACTTCAGAGACTAAGTGCGAGAGTGACGCTGTTCGGAAAACGCGATGTGGGCGCGAGGTCTAATTACCTATGAGATTTTGTGAGTAAGTGTGAGACAGTATCGGATAAATACTTTCTCAGGTGGGAGAAAGTTGATGATTTGAGACGTTTAAGTTTTTATTTTTAAAAGAACGGGTTTTGCAATCCAAAACGCAAAATAGTTGTAACATGTTGTTCGTCCGTAAGCAACAATGTCATAGCGACACAAAAAAAAGATCATTAATAAATATTAGTTTTGTCAAATAGTTCAATTCATTACAGTGTTCAACTGATTTAACAATAAAACTAAATAGAAAACCACGATTACTGGACAATTACTCAGAGGACGGGTAGTTCTCTTGTATGTGATAACGAAACAGTTAGAAGTTCAGTGA